TGCTCAGCAGGGAACCTGCTTCCCTCTCTCTCTCTCTCTGCCTGCCTCTCCATCTACATGTGATCTCTGTCTGTCAAATAAATAAATAAAATCTTTAAAAAAAATAAATAAAATAAAATAAATGCATGTTAAGAATGAAGAGATTTATCAGAGATATGTAAAAACTTAGAAACAAACAGTGTGGATAATTGAGATTTATGCATGTTAAGATTTTTAGGAAGAAACTAATTTCTGGGAAAATATGTAACCAGATTTGAATAAAGAAGAGAAAAAAAATCAAAGGTAGATTAAAAAAATTATAAAAACTGGCAAAGAATTGCTCTCTACATGGTACCAGGCCTGGAGGTTTTATGGGCAAATTATTTAAACACTTGCAGAGTAGAGGAAGAGATGGAAAGTGTACTGCTTTGTTTGTTCAAGTTACTACGACTTTGGTACAAAAACTGCTAAGGGTATATTGAAAAAAATAAAAAAAACCACCCACAACTATGAACTGAATTTCATTTGTCAGTATAAGACACTAAATACAAGTGTTAGCAAACCAAATGAATAGTTACACATAATGATCGTAAGACTAAGTGGCTTAACATTAGAAAATCTGTTAATGTAATTAATTAACCAAAGGAGAAAGCCTGTGTGACAAAAATTCATTTCAGTTAGTAAACTTTAAAAATAAATATCTTTATAAACTAATAATAGAACTGGATTTCCTTAACAGAGACAGAATGAATGGTGGACCTGCCCATCAGCACCTGACAGAATGGGGACCGTTGGTCGGGTCGGGTCTCCACTGGGGGCGGGGTGGGGGAGTAAGGCTCGCTCTCACACTCACTCAGCAACACTGTGTGACTTCTACCCATGGCAGTAAAGAGGAGGGAAGGAGGCATAATTGCTACTGAAAGGGAGAGAGGAAAGAAAAGGACGATGAAATTAACATTTCATAAACAATTTGCAGATGATGTGACGATCTCTCTGAAAAACTGAATCCAATCCGTGGAAGGTCTTCCCGGAGACTAAGAGCCATTTAGAAAATAAAAGAAGAAAATGAAGAAGAAAAAAAGAAAAGAAAAAAAAAGATCACAATATGAAAAATACCCTTTTGTAAAGAGAGCAATGGTTGCAGCATATGTGTTAAAAATATTAACATGAGGGGCGCCTGGGTGGCTCAGTCGTTAAGCGTCTGCCTTCGGCTCAGGTCAAGATCCCAGGGTCCTGGGATCGAGGCCCGCATCGGGTTCCCTGCTTAACGGGAGGCCTGCTTCTCCCTCTGCCTGCTGCTCCCCCTGCTTGTGCGTGTGTTCTCTCTCTCTTTAAAAAAAAAAAAAAAAAAAAAAATATATATATATATATATATATATAAACATGAAATATATGAGAGCGCTTGAAGTGCAGGATAATGTTGAGGAGGGGCATGTGGGAGCCATTTAACTGGAGCATAACGCATGGTCTTTAATACGAAGCTTCAACATTACAGACATTTTAGTTCATGCCAAACCCGGGTGTAGATTTGCTACCATTTCAGTAATTGTGCCACTGACATTTCTTTCAAGTGAAAGTTAATTCTGAAATTCATATGGGCCAATAAATATAAAAATAGCCAACAAAATCCTGATAAGCAGAATATTGAGGAAAAATTGCCATACCAAACCTGAAAATGTGTATGTTAAAGCCTGAATAATTAAAATGTGATAATTGAACTTAAAAGTCAAATTATTGAACCAAAGACCTACAAGAGACCCAAGTCTCTTTAGAAATGTGCTGTGTGATGAGGGAAGCATTTCAGTTAGTGGGAAAAGGAAAAAATTAGTCAGCAGTACATCATTTGAGGACAACTGACTAATCGTTTGGGAAAACATGAAGTCAAAGATATCAAAAATAAATTTCAGATTTATTAAAGATAAATATGAAACTTTAAAACTGCTCTATGAAAATGTGGGTGAATATTTTCCATAACTGTAGGGTAGAGGTCATTTCAGAGAATGAACCCCAAAGGCAGGAACCAGAGAGTAAAAACTGACAGTTTGGATTCTATGTACTTTAATCATATTCTATATAAAAAACAAACAGATAGAGAAAATACTTTATAGGAAACACACTTAGTAAGAAACTTGCCTGGGACCCATATATTCTTACTATGTAAGGAAAGTTTCAAAATCCGTGAGGGAAAAACCCCAGACAGATCTTAGTATAGCAAATGTCTTCTCAGGCTGTCCATAAAGGAACAAATGGAAAACAAGTCTGAATCAGATGAAATAAAAGAAAGGCAAATATAACCGATAGTCAAGTACCATATATGTTCTTCAAACCAGCAGTTTCACTTCTAGGAATTTGATAGGCAGGAAGCTCTCGTTATGCTCAGAGACTTTTCTGGAAGGATGTGTACAGTTGCATTACTGAGGCGAGCAGTGAGCTGGGGCACCACATGGTGGAGAACCATAGAGATGGGTTGGATGAAGGATGGTGCATCCGTAGGAAGAAAACGTGAAAGAAGATATTCTAACATGTTGAAAGATTTTCCCAGCAAGTTCTACAGTTTCCAAAGCAGGTTACAAAACAATATAAAGAAAAAAAAAAAAAAGGCATCTCATTATATATATAGACACACAGTAAAGGGCATAAAGAGTATTAACATAATTAAGGTTAATTTTAACACTTTTATTTTTCTAATTTCAACACTTGCTCCAGAAAGACTGGACAGATGTATACCAAAATGTTGCCTTTGATATATTTTTTTTTCTTTTAAGATTTTATTTATTTATTTGACAGAGATCACAAGTAGGCAGAGAGGCAGGCAGAGAGAGGGGGGAAGCAGGCTCCCTGCTGAGCAGAGAGCCCAATGCAGGGCTCTATCCCAGGGTCCTGGGATCATGACCTGAGCCGAAGGCAGGGCTTTAACCCACTGAGCCACCCAGGAGCCCATATATATATATATATAGATATACTTTTTTTTTTTATGGGACTTTGGAATGGCTTCTTACTCCCTTCAATGCCACTTTTTTTCCCCCAAAATCATTTTTTTTACCAGTATTTTTGAGATATAATACATCATCAAATCTTCAGTAAACCCGAACTTCCTTAAAGGACCGGGTTCTTTACATGCCTCTATCACCCACTTCGAGTGTTTCGTTATTTGGATTTTGGTGCACCCAGATGGTTTTGCAGCTGTCAACAAAATTAGTTTTAGGATACTTCTGTCACCGCAATAAGGAACTCCATACACAATGACAGCTAGTCCCCTTCCTCCCCAAGTTCTAGGCACCTGCTTTCCATATCTATGGACATGCATTATCTGGACATTTCCTATAGACTCATGGGATGTGTGATCTTTCATGTCTGCCTTTTTTCCCTCCCTGCAATGCTGTTGAGGTTCACCCACGCTGTAGCGCAAATCACACTCCCTATTTGTGACTGGAGACCATTCCATTGTATGGAGTTACCCATTTTGCTCATCCACTCATCAGTGGGTTTTAGATGTTAGGGGGGGCTATTGTGAATAGTGCTGCCGTGAGCGCTCCCGTACAGGTTTTGTGTGGACAGATGTTTTTATTTCTCTTGGATGTACCACTTGGGGTGGAATGGCTGGGTCATATGGTGGACCAGTGGTTAGCCTCATGACGGAGCTGCCAGACTGACTTCCAGAGCCCTGGCGCCATTTTACATTCTTGCCAGTGGTGTACGGGGTTCTAATTTCTCCACGTCTTTACCAACACTTGTTATTGCATTTTTTTCTGTTGGAGTCATCATGAGAGGTGTGAGGTGGTATCTCCCTGTGGTTTTGATTTGCATTTCCCAGTGAGTCATGATGCTGAGCTTCTCTCCATGTGCTTATTAGTCATCTGTGCATCTTTTTTGGAGTAACATTCAGATCCTTTGCTCATTTTTACTTGGGAATATCTGTCTTTTTATTGGTGGGGCCTAAGTCAAAACCGTGTTTAGAGATCATGTATTACTTGAGAGTGCTACACAAAGGGTGTTTGGAAAATAGAGGAAATTCAGACATCCAGGTGATAACCTAAAGATTGCCTGGTACCACCCAGCCAGAGGCGGTGGGTCGGAATGGAGTGTGATCCTCATTCTTTCCTCCTGCTGACGCCCGTGCCCACCCCTTCTTCCCGCCACTCATCCGCAGCTGCCTCCCACGTTCTCCGGCACTTAGATCTGGGCAGTGGCTCACCCGGAGTGTGTTGAGGCCATCTAGACGGACATGTCCTCTGGCCTCATCCCATTCCTGGAGAAGTGGAGCCCAGTGTCCTGAGAGACACTGTGAGGTGCTGGGCAGCATGAAAGGTGCTTACCTCCCTACAACTGTTATAACCAACTGCAGATGCTCGAAACCTTGCACCGTGAGCGACCGAATGCCAGGCCCTACTGCCCAGAGCAGAACACTCTTTCCTGACCAAAGAACATGGAGGACTGTTTTAACCAAGTCCCGCCCACCCACAGCACTGGTTTTCTTTTCTTTTTTTTTTTTTTAATACTTTGTTTTTAAATCATCTCTACATCCAACATGGGGTTCGAACTCACAACCCTGATATCAAGAGTTGCAGGCTGCCCTGATGGAGGCAGCCAGATGGTCCCATAGAGTGCTGTTTATCAGTCCTGAGTAACCATCACCCATTTCTCCTTTTAGCCCCTGTAAAGGAAGTATTTTCATAATGGGAAATGCCCACTTACACCTCTTCCTGAGATTTCCTTTGTAGCTCGATGTGTTGGCCAAATTTTGCAAATGTGTAAATGAGTGATGGGCCTCTCATCTTCCTTGAGCTCCTCTGCCCCATGCACAGATGCCCAGGCTCCGGTCCCCAGGAAGTTATTGGAGGCGTCAGGCAGAGAGGGGAGCCGGGCAAGAGTGGGCATTGGCTAATTCACTCGCTTCCTTCCAGACCCTGAGTGGGCCATGTGGATCTGCATTTTGGGTTCACAGATAAACATCCGGGATGCTCTTGCCCCTTTGCTGCCCACCTTGGGCACGTCGCTGACGCTGGCTTTTCTCATTCCAGGAATGACTATCCCCGAGGAGGACGCCGAGGTGGGGCAGGGCAGCAAGTACTGCCTCGTGGCCATCGGAAGACTCCAGGTGAGGGCGAGGGCACGGCTCTCTGCAGGGCCAGAGAGGGACTTGCGATTCCAGGGAGCAGGTGCATGCAGCTCTGCCCACTCTGACCCCCGGGTGCCTAGTGTTCTCTGGCTTCCAGTCCCTGTCTGCACAAGGGTGAGGCTGGATCTGGGAGAGCACAGGGAGACACGTGGTGAACCATGGAGTCCTTGCTATACAGAGGGCCCCCTCAGTCCATTCCCACTCGGGTGCCGGCCACGGCAGTCAGCCTCTGCTCCCAGGGCAGCGGGCCGATCACCTTGAACGCTTCCCCTAGGTCCTCAAGATGAAGCACTAAGTCCTCCTCCAGCCTCATCCCTCCCGTCCCCCTCCTGCTTGATTCCCACACTCCTGTAAGCCTTTTCTGCAGACCCAGCTGGCTCCTCCCCCACCTATGGGCCCCGCAGGCTGTCTCAGCTGTCTGCTGTTCCCGGTTCCCTTTCTCCCCACCCCCCCACCCCCCCTTCACTCATATTTATGCTTCCTCCAAGGTCTCGCTGGGAGGACGCCTTTATCCACATCGTCGAAATCAGTAGTTCCCTCTTCCCTGCACTTCTGCAATGAGCTCACCTGTCGGCTCTCCTTCCTTATAGCCCGTCTTCTTAGCTGAGGGTGTGCCCCTTCCCTGGAAGCTCTCCTCCCCAAAGCCACAGGGGAAACATGGCTTTTTAATTTCATGAAAATGAAATGTGCCACATCATGTCCTTAAAGCCCACGGGCTCGGTGTCTGGCGCACACGGTAGCCACTCAGTGGGCTGGACCCCTCCTCGTTTGCCCTGTGGCCCCGCCAGCCCTTCCCCCGCCGGCAGTGTGTGCCCAGAGCACGCTAGCCTGTCGTGCTTCTGGGTCCTAGTTCCTTCCACCCTCAGACAAATGAATAAGAGGTTTTATTCGCACGTGATAGGCATAGCTTATTCCCACAGGGGGGTGAAGTGCATTCGCTGTGTAAATGTCTGCTTTGCAAATACGTTGACCAGTTCCTCAGGCTCCTCAGTAAGGGGACAGTGGGAGGAGGGAAGGGTGTTAGCGTTCCCAAGCACCAGCAACGTGCCAGGCGTTGTGCCGGGGTTTGGTGTGCAGAATCTCGCCCCACCCTCTGAGATACACGGTTCATGATTCCCACTGCCTGATAAGGACACGGGCCCCCAGCAGTGCAAGGCAGCGCATGGTGGCCATTCGTGGGAGGTGTGACCAGTGCGCTTTGAACACTGGGGCTCGGATCTGTGACATAGACACCACGTGGATTCTTCCCATCGTCTCTCGTGCCCCCACCCCGTCTCTGTCTCCATCAGAAGCACCTCAGTGTGACTGTCCCCTTTCCAGGTGACCAGCTCTCCCGTGTGCATGGACATGAGTGGGATGTCAGTGCCCACGGAGTTCTTATCCCGGCATAACTCTGACGGGATCATCACGTTCGTGGACCCGAGATGCATCAGCGTGATCGGCTACCAACCCCAGGTAGGTGGTTCGCAGCCCATGGCAGTCGGCTAGAGATGTAACTTCACTGAAGATGCACTTGTCTCATTTCTTCGAGAGCCAGAGGATGACAGCGGACGGCACACAGCGTAAAAATCCAGCGTGCTGCCTGGAGACAGCTCTGTCCTTCCAAAGCAAGAAAGGCGTTAACTCTTACAATTAACTCTTCCGTTTTTTCCCTAACCCTCCCTCCTGTCTCACTGGTTGTCACAAACCAGAGTTAAGACGCTCCGTGGGAATCGCTGAACTTAGATGAACAGCAGACAGGACATCTCCTTCTTGCAAACCTCAAAAACGAGATTAATGTGAAGGGCCCTGAAATGTCTTGAAAGATGTTCACTTATTTTTGCCTAATACCTTGTTTCTCGAATGTGTTTAGAACTTGCGTCTATAGGGGCACAGTTTCAGGTCTCTGTTCCAGACCCCTTTTTTTTTAAAAGTCAGCATTATAAGAAACACCAAAAGGCAGGAGAAATTAATGTAGATTAAAATAAACCAAAGAGAAGTGCACCTGGGTGGCTCAGTGGGTTAAGCGTTAAGCGTCTGCCTTCGGCTGTCATGATCTCAGGGTCCTGGAATCAAGTCCCGCGTCCGGTTCTCTGCTCGGTGGGGAGCCTGCTTCCCCCTCTGCCCGCCATCCGCCCTGCCGTGTGTGCGCACGCGCTCACTCTCTCTCTCTGTCAGATAAAAGACTAAAACCTTTAAAAAAGAATAAACCAAAGAGAAAATCACAGTAAGTGTTATGAGAGCTTTCAGCAGGCCCTGGGGCTGAGGACAGGTAGCCAGAGGAGACATTTGGGAGATAATCGAAGGAAGGTTAATATGTGTGGAATATCCAGTGATTGAATCGAACAATTATTGATTTTTTTTTTTTTTTAGGTGTAATATGGAATGTTAAGGTTTGGGAGGATAATACACACTTTGGAGACGGGCGTCCTCCTGTCTCCTTCTTCCAAATGATTCAGAGATTTTTCAGTGTGTCTGTAGATACGAAAGATTTTCCATTTGTGTACACTTCCGTGGCTTTCATTTACATATGTTCATGTTCACACGCATCCGAAAGATAGGAAAATGCAGAGGCAACCGTGTTAGGGACAAGATATTCAGGGGTTTTTCACATGATCCTTTCAGCTTTTACATAGATTCAAATTTCTCCCAAAATAAAAAACCTTTAAATAAAGAAAGGAAGGAAAAGATCTCTGTTCTGAGGAACAATGCTGGGACACGTCGATGTGGGCACTTCAAGGCTGAAGAGTGCACAGCCCTTGATGTCGGGGTGGTGAGTTCAAGCCCCGTGTTGGGTCAGAGACTACTTAAATAAATAAACCTTCGAAAAAGAAGAAGAGACCTAGAAACAGTCCAACTTGAAATAGGGAACCATGCGCGTAATTGTACATCTCCAGTTTGATGCAAACTTGAGATTATTGGAAGGAGTGAGGGGGACACGAATTCCAAAGTTGCCGTCGCCTCGGCCGGCGGTGTTTCCAGATTCATTTATGCACCAGCACCTCCAAGCTTCGAGATGCTTCTTGGCGCACAGACGAGACCTGCTGCCCACGTCCCTGTCCGCTCCCGTGGAGGCTGTCACGGGTTTGGGTTCCGGCCAACAAGGTCATTTTTCTCCTTGGCTGCCTGAGACTCATCCACGGGACCCCGTTCCCGTTCCCCGCGTGGAGCTGCCTTGCGATGGTTTATCTGAGTCTGGCTGGTTTTTGTCCTGGGCTCGTGCCAGGTGCTCTCAGTAAGAAACGGGTGACGGTCAGTATGGTTACTGTGGGGTCCCAGCACCTGTCCAGCCCCGAGAACATCCGTGGCCACATTTCAGCAACTGCAGGCCTGTCTGTCCTCGTGCTATTGTTTGCTTTCTTTTTATGTTTATTATAGTATGTTTGTTGTGGTTTGCCTCTCAAAGGCAAACGGAAATGAAATCACCCTCTGGCGGTGCTGGTCCAGGGCCCCCACGAGATCGGAGTGGGCGGGAGCGCCCAGGACGGCAGGCGGGGCATCGAAGACGGCCCCCTCACCGCCCCAGGGACATCCTGCGTGCTGGGGGACCGAGGGACGTGGGCGAAGGGGGTCCAAGGATGTGGCCGTCCGACGGTGATGCGTCTGCCACAGGAATCACGGGGTCTCACAGCTTGTCTCTTTCTTCAGGATCTTCTAGGGAAGGACATTCTGGAATTCTGCCACTCCGAGGACCAGAGCCACCTGCGGGAGAGCTTTCAGCAGGTACGGCCAGCGCTCGCCGACAGCTGCTGGGGCACCGGGGGCCCAGGCAGGTGGCCGGTGGGACATGCCAGGCAGGCTGCAGGGGGCTACCCCAGGCATTGGTCAGGGGCCTGGCTGCCAGGGTTCCCAGTTGAGGGGGAGGGGAGACCCATTGGGAAGCCGTGCCTGTGTCCAAAGGGTGGACAATGGGGAGGTCAGGGGTGTGAGGAGGAAGCAGGGAGGGTCTCCCGGGGGAGGGAACTAGGGACAGGATGAGCCCGCCCCTGACAGAGCATTCCAGATGGGTGGCCGGCACCCAGAGAGGCGGAAGGACGTGGCCTATTGGGGAGTCACATGTAGCCCCTTGGTCTGGAGTGACACTTACCACTGGGCGGTGGGGGGGCCCACGGTAGAGGCTGCTGAGCCCCCCCGGAGGGGCGGACGTCCTCCCCTCGTCATTTCCGGGAGGGCTCCGCCGAGGACCGTGAGCTGAGCAGTGGGTCTGAGAGACAGCGCGGGTACATGGGGAGCAGGTGTGGGGGACTCCGGGAATAGAGGTGCCGTGGGAAGCTGTGGACGGTCCAGGGAGGAGAAGACCGGTGGGGGCACAGCCTGAGGTGACCATTGTAGGCTTGGTGGCGCTCTAGGCGGGGACAGCGAAGGGGAGCTGGGAGGGAGGCTGCCTGTCACTGAGTCGTTCAGGGTCACCCTGTCTCCACCGTGATGCCCGGTGCTGAGCACCTGCTCTGTGTTGTGCTCTGTGTTGTGCACTTGTGTGTGTCCTGCGTGCTTGACCTTGGGGGGGCATCGTCGCTGTCGAGTCACGGGAGAGAAAGCGGAGCCTCGGGGAAGTAGGAGTGCCTAAGACCACACGGTGAGCGCGTGAGGACTGGGAGTCTGAGGGCCTGCCCCCTCCTGGGCTCACGCTCGGCCGTGATGGCAGAGAACGAGTTCCTCCTCTGAGACTTTGGGGCGGCTCACAGGAGCCCCAGGAAAGAGAGGACCAGGTCGTGTTATAGGACACGGGCCTTGGAGATCCGTTCTAGGAGGGACTGATAGTCTGTCAGTCGTCTGATGGGTCAGGCCCTCGATGGCCAGCTCCCCTCGACATCTGCTGCTCCGTTCACACCCCGTGTTGGGTGGTCTCTGAGCTCCCCCGCCTGTCCCTTGGGCTCGGTCCTTGCCTGCTTTCTCCCCCTTCTCCCTGCAGTATCTCCCTCAGCAACTTCATCCGGGGACAGCACAGACTGTCACTGACATTCCATTCCTGCCACACCTGCTCCGAGCACCCGCGGCCTCCAGAGGCTTGCCCGTCCCGTCCATGTCTCCCTGTGCCCCCCATGTACCCCTCCTGCCCCCCGTGACCCCTACTTCCGCAGGCCCAGAGCCGAGACACAGTTGGCCCCCCTCCTCTGGTCTGGCTGTCCCCGTGCAGCCCTCACGTCCTCTTCCCCCCAAAAGGCATGTGCTGCTGGCCCCTTCTCCCTGTGCTCCTTCCCACCAACCTTGACCAGGCCGCCCCCCTCTCATCTTCAACAGCGCGGCGGTGTCCTTGCCGGGCTCCCTGCTTGGCTCCTGCCCACCCCACGCCATTTGAGAGACACGAATTCAGCTCTGCCACATCTTTGCGTAAACGTGCCCGCGGCTTCCCGGTGCCCCTGGAATCTGATCCAAGCTCCGTACCACTGCTGCCAGCCCAGGGTGACCCCTGCTGCATGTGTTACCCACACTCGTTCATGGCCCATGGGCACATGGGTCTTTTGGTGCCTTGAGCACATCATGCTATTTCCCACCTCAGGGCCTTTGCACATGTTCCTCTGGACTAGAATGCAGTCCCCTCACTCTTCCCAGGACGGATGTCTTCTTATTGATTAGGTTTTAACTCCTGTCCTCTCAGAGTTGCCGTCAATGGCCATGCTAGTGAAGAAAGGCCCCCTACCCACCTTCTCAGCCTCCTGTTTTCCCTACAGAACAGCTCCAGTTGGTAATTGTTTCTCCACTGATTTTCCTTTCCCCCCATCCTGTCTACTGACACATCAGCTCCCTGCGGGCAGGTCCCACGTCTGGTGCCCACTGCCGCGTGTGCAGCCTGCTCGTGGGTGAGCAGCCCGGGAGAGCGCGGTCTAGGGGGTCGGCGACTTTCATTCTGGAACAGTGTGTACGGAGAACCGTGAAGCATGGCCAGAGTGTGTCCTTCGTGCCTCATCTTTGCCAGTGTGTGGGGATTTTGCTACACGGTGGCCTGGGCCGGCTTCCCTCTTCTGGGTCTGTGGGAATGAAGCTCTGGCAGCAATAGGCGTCCCTCCGCGGCCGGTGACCAGGTAGACCCCGGTCGCACACGGTCTCAGGTGGTCCTCTGCGCCCCCCATCCATTGTCAGCCCCACTCTTCACGGTGGACGGTGGGACGCAGAGAGCTTTGGTCGCCTGCCCCGAGACCCTCAGCAGGGTATTAACAGAGCAAGGGCCGGAGCTGCCTGCTTCCAGCACGTTCTCCTGTCGCCGAGCACACAGGCCTCTCCGTTGGACCGCATGGCGATGCCAGCAGAAGCTGGGTGGTTCTGGACAGAAACAGGAGGAACGTTAGCCCCGATCCCGTGGCGCCGGCTCACAGACCTCTCACCCCAGGGTGCGACCAGCCCACGGCAGGCAGGACACAAAGCTGGAGCCGCGCCTGAGAGCCGGGGGCCCCCGTGGTCGCAGCGCTCAGTGGGCGGGGGCCAGGCGGCCACAGAGACATCCTGGAGCACCAGCCTCGGCCCCTCGTGTGTGTTCTTTGGGCCCCAGCCACTGGGGGACGAATGTTGATAGAGGGAAGTGGCTTGTTTTTGCAGAAGCGCTGAGGGAGCTGTGTCAGCCTGTGTCAGCCCGGAGTCAGCCTTGGAACTCTCTGGATTGAAACCAGAGCATTTGCGTGGCCCGGACATGAGACCCTCAGAGTGCCATCAAGTTCCTGAGGAATTTGGGTTGGGTGGGGTGGCCTGTGCCCACGCGGGGGACATGAGTCTGCCCTTGGCTCACTCCCGGACCCCCGCTGGCTTACATTTCTCTTCGCAGCCACGTGGAAGGGTGGGACCCAGAGAGACCCAGACCCAGGAGGGCACGATGCAGGGGCCCCGGTGTGGCCCTGCCCCACCCGAGCCTCCGGCCTCCACACGCCCTGGGTTCCCGTGCACAGAGTGTGTGCCTCCTGCCAGATAGCCTCACTCGCCGACCACGTCCCTACCTCCCTGCCCTCTGGGGACTTCCGCCCCCTCCCTGAGGAACCCTCTCTGGACCCGCGGTGTCCTCTTAATGGTGTGGCTCTGAGCTGGGGCTCGGCCTGCTGTGTCTGGGCTCCTCCTCGGCTGAAGGTGCACCTGGAGACGGTGGGCTGTGGGGTAAGGCGATTCAGATTCTGGTCCTGCCTTGGGCACGGCTTAGTCAGGAGGCCTTGGTGGCACGTTTAACTCCATCGGGGCTCAGATGCCAGATGTGCACCGTGCCCTAGGGAGGCCCACACGAAGTGACCTGGATCACACACTTAGCCGGAACCGGGCCCCGGGAGGGTGCGGGGCTGCTGCTCCCTCCCGCTGCTCCTTCTCCCGCCTGAGGGCCCAGCTTCATGCACAGATGGCGCCTTGGCAAGTGTCTGCCGCTTGGAAGCTAAGGGGTCCCCCACTGTCTCAAGTGTTCCGTGAGGACAGACACTTGTGTGTGGCATCTTCAGGGAGCCCAAGGACACAGGTCTCAGAGGGAGCAAGGTGACCACCGGTTTTCCCTGTGTCTTGTCCCACAGGACCCCCTCAGAAATGGTGACCTCAGGGGCATGTGGCCTGGAGCGCCAGTCCTGGGAGGAAAGAGCCAGCTTCCTGCTGGGACCACACCCCTGCCGCCAGGCGTGGCCACTGCGCCTCCGGGCCTCGCCTCACCCAGCGTGTACATCCTTCTGGGCTCTGGTCTGGTTTTCTTATCACTCAGGCTCTCCGCCAGGGAGTCCAAGCCCCAGGTTTCATTCCTTCTGACTTCCCCAGGGGCGCTGCTGAAAGAGGGTGGGCGCCCAGGCTGTGTCAGCCCCGCTCATGGGGCCAGAAGCCCCGTCGAGAATTCAGAGACGGTGCTCCATGTGCCCCCTTCATGCCGAGCTTGGGGCTGAGGGCGGGAGGAGAAGGACAGGACTCAGGTGACCAAGAGGTCTCTCCCTGTCCCTGTCCCTAGACTGTTCACAGACATTCAGCCAGAAATAAACTACAAGTCACGGAGTTAAGGAGGAGGGACGGGCGCTCCCTGAGCCTGGGGCCAGGGCCCTGTTCTTATCTCTGATCATACTTTGGAGTCATGGTCAGTAAGCCCAGCTGCCCTAAGCCCAGAGCCTTCTCTGTCCTGAGCAACCCCAGGATCTGGAGAACACAGGCCTGCAGAGAGGAGAGCACCGCCGCCTTGCTTTGTGCTGGGACTATGTTCACACCAAGCCTCCGCCCACCCGCCAGTCATTCGCAGCCACTCCTGTTTCTGCTGCAGCCTAGAGAGCTGCCAGCCGAGCGTGCCCTCTGGCCTGCCCGTGCACCATGCACACCCCAGCTGCCCCTGCGCGTGCACACCCACAGCTCGGCATCTTCTTGTGCCCAGATCGTGTGTGTCTGCAGGGAGAACAAGGGCAGGAAAAACACATTGTAGTTTGGAAGCAAGACCTTGGCTCCTTCCCAGCTTTTCCAGCAGCGTTGTCTGACCTTGGGCAGCTTACTTACTTTCTCTAGGACTTGGTATTAAACCTTTGTAAACAGTCACACCCCGGTGAGGATGGACGTTGGGAAGCGGTTTGGAAGCCCTGCTGTGGCATAGACACGGGGTTAGGGACGTGAGGTAGGAAGCAGCAAGTGCCCCGATACAATGTAACCACGCACCTAATGTGGGCGGCGGAGGAGTGGGGCGCTGCTATGAGACCAGAGCAACCTAGCCGCCCGGCCGGAGAGGGGGGCACTCGGCGTATAGAGCGTCATGAGCCATTTGAAAAAGCTGAGAGATCCGGGTACAAGGCAGGTGTCGCTGAGCGTGTGGCAGAGTGTGGGGCGGCTCCAGAGATGGAGAGCGCCCCCAGCCGCGCTCGTTCCCTGTCCCTGTCCTGCCGGCCCCACCGCGCACCCGTTCTGAGCCCCCAGGGGCTTCGCCCGTCGCCGGGCACTGACCTCCTTCCACCGGTGTCTCCGCAGGTGGTGAAGCTCAAGGGCCAGGTGCTGTCGGTCATGTACCGGCTGCGCACCAAGACGCGCGAGTGGATGCTGATACGCACCAGCAGCTTCACGTTCCAGAACCCCTACTCCGACGAGATGGAGTACGTCATCTGCACCAACACCAACGTCAAGTACGTACTTGCCGTGCACCCCCCGCCCCCAGCCAGGTCAGGGCACCTTTTCTGAGTCCGGGGCTGGAGCATTCTCTCTCCCCATGGGCTCCAGCGCCCCCACAGCCGGTGGCCCCCGCGGGACCCGAGGAACAGGCCTAGGGCAGAGGGGGGCTGTGGGCTGCGTTGCGGCTTCCCCTCCCTTGCCCTGCCACGCTCCTGCCCCTGCTTCCCAAGCCTGAGGGACAGCCCCCATGGCTGCCCCACCCCCCAGCCTCGATGCAGGTATCCTGCTTGCTGGGCCTCGCTCTGCCCCTGGCACGCAGAGCGCAGCAGGGCCGAGCCAGGTGCCCTCCGGCTACAGGCATCCCTGCTGCAAGGGCCTGATTTCTTGGCCCTTTGGAAGCAGGGCTGGGGAGCAAGGCTGGGGCTGCGGCAGCCCCAGGGTCTGGGGGGTGGCAACGTAGGGACACACGGGCCCCCTGCTGCTCAGTCATCCACACACGTTCCTCCGGCTCCAGGCCCCATGGTCCCAGCTTACCACTTCCCCATTGTGCAGGCATGTTCTCCCAGAGCCCGGGCTCCAGGCTCACCCCGCTTCCTGTGACCCGGAATTGTGTGTCAGGTCACCTCTCAGAGCTCACTGTCCCGTCCGTGCAAAGGGGTGTGACAGTGCTTCCATGGGGCTGCTGTGAGGCTGGAGGTCAGGCTCCCAGCTACAGGCAGGTCACCCTTCCTCCCGGGATTTGTTCTCGAGGGACGCAAGGGCAGAGAACCAGCATGATCAAAGGCAAAAGGACGTCCAAGGCTACGTGAGCTGGTGTTGGGGCCCCACCACGTGCCGGGGCATGAGAGGATCTGCCGTCAAACTGTTCCTCTGTTCCCACGTGGGTCAGTGACATTGCTGTCCTGTGTCTTCCCACGCCCAACTCTGACAGGTGTCACCCCTGCCATCTCCCCTCCTCTTCTGACAGCCGTCCCAGTGATGGTGCCCCGGTTGGCGACCACAACTTGCCAGCTTGCTCAGGGCTCTGGCCCCATTGTGTCTCTCGGATGCCTGGATTGGGGCGTTCCCCTCAGGGTGCCCCGGCCTCCTCCCCGGGCAGTCCCACCCTGTGTCTCAGCCTCAGCCCTGCTCCTGGCCCACAAGGCCCCGAGCTGGACAGTCCGGTCCACTCATGCGAGGCTCCTTGGCACGGCTGACCTGGGTTTTGATTCCGGCTGCCCGCTGGACAGGTCGCTGTGTCGTCCAAGGCTCAGTTGCCTTGTCTGGAAAGTGGGGAGAACAGCCTTGTGCCTAGGGTCCTGCATGTAGATGGTGCCTGTGAAGCCGTGTGGGGGGATGGCGGGCGTGGGGCTGGACCTGGCGTGTGGGGCCAGCCGCGGCTGACAGGAACTGTGTCGATGTGCAGAGTGGCGCCTGCCACCGTGTCCCGGTTCGCCCCTCCCGGGCTGGCCCCACCCGCTGTGGGCTCTGGAGGTGCACTTGCTTCTTCAAGTTCCGGGCAGATCGTCCTGCCTCCTCCTGGTGGCAGGAATGAGGGTCCCCGGAGTCGATCAGGCCCTCCCAGCACATCCTCCCTTTCCCGTGGGCCACGCTCCTCTCCAGGCCCTGCCATGGGCTCCTCTCGAGACTTGGCACCGGCTCTGGCTTCCCGAACGGGGAGCTCCCGGTCTCCCTGGCCCTCCAGTCTTTCTCTGCTAGCCGGGCTTGCCAGCCCTCTGTCGGGGCCCCATCCCCTTGTCCCCCTCACAGCCTGGCCTTGGCCCCCGACTCTGCTCACTCGCTTTCCCAGTGGCCGTAGCAATCGGGCAGCTCATCACCGGTCATTCCCCCAAACTTCGTGACCCCCTCGTGTCCCTCTGCTCCTCCTGCCTTGGCCTGCCTGGCGCTGTGGCTCTTCTCCGTCTTCCAGCCACGCCGTTCTGGGCTGTAGGAAGAGCGGGTACGCACGGCAGCCGCAGATCCGGCTGTGTTTCCCCCATGCCCGAGAGGGTCTTGCAGCTGCGTGGTAAACTCGGTATGACCGGGGTCTGTCACTCCCCGGCCTCCTCCATGTGGGGAGGAGGGTCCTTGCTGAGAGAGTGGAGAGGCTGTTGCAGCCCCGGGCCCGTCTCCCCCCCCGGACCCAGGGTCTCATGGCTGAGGTGACCGTGTACTCCCGGCCTGGGGGCAGCCGGTGGGGGCAGTGGGAGCCCCGGGGGGAGGACGCCAGCTTGGCTCGGTCAGTGTCTGCTCACGCGGTCGCTGGTACCTTCTGTCCCGGTCCCTCTGCAGCCACATCAGCTGCCGCTGTTGGTCGTGCAGACAGGCAAGCCTGTCTAGTACGCGGGGCCCTGGACGCAGTTCTAGAACCTTCATTCTTCTCATGTCAGCATAATGACTGGGGGTCGGTGAGAGCCGCCTGGTCTCTGACGCAGCCTCGTCACCAACCACCCTGCGGCCTCACACCCCCCACACCTGTATGCTGCCGGCGCCCGCTACCTGGCTTGTGGGGGCGGAGGGCTGTCCCCCCCCAGGTGATGAGAGGAGTCCCACAGCATCATGGGGACAGCCCGCGCCCTGCTCTCAGACCCGAGGCTGGCCCGGGCACGAGTCAGCTCTGCAGCACGTCTGGGTCCCCCGTGGGGTTCAGACCCAATCCTAGCCGGGCATCTGGCAGAGTCCTCTTGGTTTGGGTCAGAGGGTGGGTGAAGCCCCCCTTCCTGGGTTTTTATTTCTGTTCTACTTTCCACCTGTCCTCACTGAGGCCCATGTTTGTACAGGCATCAGCCATCCGGGGTGGGTACCCTTGGTGACAAGTGCTCCCAGAGCCCCTTGGGAGGACGCGGGCCCGGGGCAGGTTCCAGGACACGTGGGGCGGCCACCACCAGGGAGGGGCCGTGTTCCCTGGACAGAGGAACGCAGTGAGGACGCAGGGCCAGAGAGGGAGCACTTCTGCCCACAGCCTCCGATTCAGCCTTCCCGTGGGTAGCGCTGCCCCAGGGCCCAGAAGGACAGGTGGGACCATGCTCCTCAGGGACCGCAGAGGCTCTGCTGTGAGCTCTGAGGCAGGGGCCTGGGGCCAACAGGCTGTGTCCCGTGTCTCAGGACAGCTGCTCCGGGCAGCTCTGTGGGGTTGGAGGGGATGAGAACGCCCCCTCAGACCTGACAGCGACCTTTTCCTGGTGATGGTGGCGGGAGACGTCCACTGTGGGCAGCAGAGGGCAGTGACGACCAGGAGGCGAGCCCGCGGCCCTCGGCACGTGTTGGCTGGGCTCGGCCGGCAGTAGGCAGACTCACTGCCGCAGGAAGGTCATTCTGTGCTCAGGGCTCGGGGCCAGAAAGGCAGGCCGCCATCGGGCAGGAGTGTGTGGAAGGAACCGCCTGGAGAACGGACTGTGCCGTGCTTAGCCCGTGTGCGAGGCTGCTGAGAGGAAGGTCTCTGAGCCCCGTGCGCTGGCTCCCGCGACATCAGAGGGAGAAGGGCAGAAAGCACAGCCTGGGGTCTTGCCTGCTGCTCACAGCACCCGTGTCCGTGCGGTGCGTGTGCTCGGGGCCGAGTCTGTCTTGTGGAGACACAGCGTGGGCTCTGAGGGGGGGCCGGTGCTTCTGCACACGCACGAGCTAGCGGCTGGCCGGTGCCGGCTCGTCTTCAGCGGGTTGTGAAGCTCTCCCTTGGCAGGTCCTGACGGCCTTGTTCCAAGGCCACCGTAGGTCTTCGTGACCGCGGATGCTCTCTGTGCTGGTCTGCGTGCTTCCTCAGGCCCCCACTACATCTGGTCGTGTGGTGTCCCTCGCCCCCCGCCAGCCGTCTGTCCGTACGTACTCAGTGCGGGCCCACTGCGTCCAGCAACCCACCCCCCCGGGACTGCAGGAGACTGGAGCCTGGAGTGGGCTGTGAGAGCGGGTGACCTTCCTCATCTCTGCAGACCTTAGCCAGGGACGGGCCCGCTCTCCCAGTCACCAAGCCCCAGCCTGGGACTTGTCTCCCGTCCCAGCCTCCCAGGCACCTGTAGCAGATGACCTGGCAGAGAACGGGGCCCTACAGCTTCTATCTGGGAGCCCCTCTGGGCCATCTCCCCCTCCCCGCCTGTTCCCCAGTGCCCCGCGGAGACCTCCGCCCTGTCGGGGGATCCTCTGTCCCCTTCCTGACCAGCTCGCCCTGCCTTCCGTCCAGCCCACGTTGAGCAGCCCACGTGGCCCCAGGAGATGTCGCCATCATGCGCTCCTGCCACTCCTCCGTAGAATCAACTCCAAACCCCAGGACGGGCCCTCGGGGTCCTGCCGGTGGGCATCCAGACGGCGCTCATTTAGCGGCGAGCACGGTTAGCCTCACTCCAGCCGGTCGGGCTCAGGGAGCCCCAGGGCTCCTCGCCAGATCCCGGTTCTCCCAGAGCTGCGGTCTCTGCTGCATCTGACACCGTGATGGCGGGTCGCGTTCTTCCTCAGGCTGAGGAAGACCCTTTGTCTGGGGAGCGTCGGCTGTCCCCGCCACCTGGGCCAGCCCCAGACACCTCTGCCGCAGGGAGGCCACGCTGATGGAAAGCCTGGGCCTGACGGCCCTGATGTGGGATCCTTGGCTCTCGTCCCCAGCAGACTGGGAGGTGGGCCGCGGGGTCCCGTGCACGTGCTGTTGGTGGAGCTCAGAGCAGCCACGCCCTCCCCCGCCCCCCTGGAATTTGCAGACCTACCAAAGCTTATTTTTATTCCATTGCCGTGAAATGTCCAAGGAAGCCCATCAGACTTCTTCCCACGATGGGCGCCTGCGAGTCAGCATTTCTTCCACGGGTGTGCCGTTATGGGCACCGAGACCAAAGTCAGCCGGATGGGGCGGCTGTGTCCAGACCACAGGGGCGCGGTCAGACCCCTGGGGACCTGCTGGCCACGCCAGAGACCCTGGTTCCTACCTCCCCCTGGAAGGAGCTTCCTCGGGCCCAGAAGGGGACAGAGCAGAGAGCAAGCTCCCACACGCGTGCCCATGGCCCTTGCTGGCGTCCTCGCACACAGTGGAAGTGCGGGCCCTTCCTCCCTGCAGTGCAGACCTACACGGGGGCGCCCGGCACACAGCCCCACGCCGTGGTCTTGCCCATTCCCCGATAGTCTGTGCCCTGGTGGGACATGGGCTGGGCCAGAGGCGGGAGCGGCCGGTGTTCCTTGGACAAACGCAGGTGGGCTGAAGCCTGGGCTCTGGGAAAGTTATGAAGGAGAGAGGCATTCACTGGTCTGATCCCACAGAAACCCCAGAGCACAGGTCTGCTCTCCCTTCTGCCGCTCTGGAATGGAAGATGTTGGGTAATGGTCCTTGTTACGTCGTGGGACTGAGTGTGGGGTCCATAGATGGGTCTGAGTGCTGTGTGCACCGTCCCGGGCACGTGTTCGGGACTCTGAGCGCCACATTGTGCATCCGTGAAATGGGCAGGCTGCAGAGAGAGGACGGTGTGGCCGGGGCCAGCCCTGAGCTCTGCACTCAGGCTTCAGGGGCCCCGTGAGTGAGTGATGGTAGGTGATGCCGTTGGGATGTAACCAAAATAGTAAAACCCTAGAGTAAGAATAAGGAAAGAAAGAAAGGTACGATTTTTCTACAGATCGTTACGTTCTTTTAAAATTTTTTGAAATAGCAATTAAAAATTCTTTTTAGTGCCCCTGTTTCCAGGTGTTGTGGGTGTGGGTGCAGACGGCCTGCGGGAACGTGCCGTGTTTTCTGGCTCACCTTTCCCCTGGGCTTTCGCACCCAGGGCGGGAGACGAGCCGTCTGTTCTCCCTGCACCCGGGGAACACACCACACTTCCTGCCAGCTGTCCTCCCAGACACTGTCCGCGCCGTGAGGACCCCTTCCACGTGGGTCTGCACGTCCTGTCCTCTCCTCTGGGTCTAACCCAGAGCCTGCTGTGGACGTTTCAGTAGCTTCCCAGGACAGACAGCCCACCCGGGCTGGATCTAAATACACTGGTCAGGGGTCCCCCAGCGAGGTTGTCTTCTGAGAGGTCTTCCCAGGGGGGCCACACGTGAAGGGCGCGGTGTGGGGGTGAGTGGTGTCTACACTGTCCCTCTCTCTGGCCGCTGGAGAAGAGTTAGGGGACAGAATTCGGCTTAGGTTGTGTTTCTCGGGTGGTGGGAGTGGCAGGAGGTAGATTCCGGCTGTTTGTGGCACAGATTTTCATGATCAGCTCTGCCTAAGGAGGGAGCAGGCCGCCTTGGAAAGCAGTGAGCTCCCCAGCAGAGGAGGGAAGCCGAGACTGGCCCACGCGGTCCCTATCTCGGGTGGGTGCTGTGGACCGGCTCTTGCCCTGCTTGGGGAGCGGAAGTGGTCAGCCAGCTGGGCAGCCGCTCCTGGACCTACACGGCCTAGCATGCTCCGTCTACACCACCCGCAGCCTCGGGGCGCCTGGATGTCTGTAAGCCGCCGTTAACTTTTGTGGACCGGATGGTGTGCGCCCCTTCTCCTCGGGCCTCCAGCTGTACAGCCACTGGAGGGACTGGCTGGGGGCAGCGGGGTGAGAGTCTGGGGGCTCCCCTGTCTCAGGGCAGGAGGAGCGCAGCTGCCACTGAGGCCAGGCTCCCGTCCGGCCGCATGTCCCACCAGTCTCGTCGCCAGCCAGCACAGTGGATCCCCTGGGCCTGCCTCACCTCCATGCCATGAGGTGGCCACTGCCCCAAACCCTTTTCAGAGCAATGGGGCTTCTCTGTGCACCCCACCTCTCCAGGCCTTGGGGCGCTCTGTTGTGAAGGGAGTTCAGCAGACATCCTCGGGGAGGGCTTGGGGCTCCCTGTGTGAGCCCGGTGAGAGTTGCCGTGAGAGCAGGGGCTCCGGGTAAGTGTGCAGAGGACACAGGTGTCCTTCCTGCTGGCCTGCTGCAGTTGGCAGCTCCCCTTGGCCAGACCACATGGCCTCCTCCCGAGCAGGACCCCCCACAGGACCCCCTCTGCGGGGACGCTCCTCTGCTGGCTCCTGCCCTCCCTGCATTTGACTTCTGGGCTCGCTGGCAGACTTGCCTTTTCTGTGCCCCCGCCCCCAGCCCCCGTGCCTCTGGCCCCCACCGAAGGGGATGGCATCTTTGAGGGGTTCCTCCCCTGCCTCCAGGCTCAGAGCGCAGGGCAGGTGTGGGGGAGACGACCCGCACCCCCCAGGTGTTCAGAAGGGACCCACGCAGATTACTCTGGCTTCAAAACACACAGCGACAATGGATAAGGAAAGTCTGGCCAGTTAACACGAACATGGAAGAGACGTTCTCCGAATTTTGTTTGCCATGTGGGCCATGTGCTGTCCGTGGCCATAGTCCCAGCGCCCAGATTTTGTCCTGAGCTCGTCCACACGCTCTGACCATACCTTCTTGCGTCCACGACGGTCCTCGCAGCAGCCGCCATGGGACAGCCGGGAGTGCGCGCTCAGTGACTCAACAGGTCCACACGGTCGCTCCCCTCTCACCGCCGACTCCGTGTAGACCACGCTCGTCTCTGGCTGCTGGGTACATTCCCTCCACAAGCCCCAGCAGCAGGGCGACTCCTGGAAGGAGTGGACGTGTCATGGGATCTGTCAGGGGCGCCAGGAAGGCCGTGAGCCCGCGCACTTCCCCAGCGGGGCGTGGCCTTTCCGCACCAGGCCAGCGCGCTCAGCGTGGTTTACCCGCCTCGTGGTGAAGACTGGTTCTATGAGTTTGCTCAGACTCGCGCTTACTCGCTGTCCAAACAGTGGACGTGGTTCCTGTCCCCACCGATTCTATGAGTAGCCGGTCTCTGTGTCATGCCTGCGTGTTTACGCTCTCACGGTCCCTCGCGTCCTCCCCGTTGAGCCCCGGGCATGGGTGTGTGTGTGACGTTGGTCAGCACTTTGCTGATCACCGTTCGCCTCTCATTCTCGTTGGCGTTCAGAGTTGAAAGCGACGCTGTCGTCCGGCCCCATTTTTAGGCTCTGAGCTGCTGTAGTGCTCGCTGCCCCTTGGAAGGAGCACGGTTTCCATCATCTGAAACATAAAGTAGCCTTTTCCTATAAGGAGGCTCTTTCTGTCCCCAAAGGAACAGCTTGGGGTGTGCCTTGTGCCGGGCAAGGTCCAGGTCCGTAAACTCACGCCCGCGGGCGGGCAGGCCCCAGCAGCCCCTCTGCACTCTTGCGTGGGAGACAGTAATGCTGCGGGAGTCCAGAGTCACCAGAGTTTCTGCGTCGATCGGAATTTGTCCTGAAGTCTTTTTACCTGCGTAAGAAGAAATCGTAAACCAAAATTTATTTCCTAAATGCAGGCAGCCTCCAGGACAGAGCTGGGGTCTTGATTTGAGGCATTAAAGAGTCTTCATAAAATAAAGCAAATAAAAACCGAACCCGTCTAGGGGTCCATCGGGTGTCTCCTCTGTGGTGTGGGGCTCGGGGCGGGCTCTGGTCCTGCCCCACGGTCTCCACATCCATTCTTGGTGACGCTGTTGCCTTTGTGTCCCTCAGGCAGCTCCAGCAGCAGCAAGCGGAGTTGGAAGTGCACCAGCGGGACGGGCTGTCGTCCTATGACTTATCGCAGGTGAGCTCCTGGGAACTGTCTGCAGCCCAAGGGACCGGGACTGCACTCGACCCTTAGCTTGATTCCCCCACTGCTCCCCCAGCCAAGCAGGCGCAACTATTCCGTCCAGACACTCAGTATAGAGGCCTCACTCCCATGCAGGTCTCCCGTGACCCTTCTACAGAACTGGGCCATGAAGGAGGCAGGACCCGTGAAGCCCGGGTGGCAGGTTTTGGCCAGTACAGAGATGGCGGGCCCATGGTAGCTTTCCAGACACCATCTCACAAACTAGGAAGCCGGTGGAGGCAGCTCCGGACCCTGTCAGCCCTCCACTGCCCAGCCGTCCGTCCTGCTTTGGTCCAGTCCCCATCTGCTCCCACGCCTGGTCCTGCCCTGGGTCCCCCCTCTCCCTGCGCTGTTTCCCTCCCTTCTCCCTTCTCCCTTGTCCCCTCCTTTTCCCTCTGCCTTTCCTGCTGTGTCAGAGAGCGGGCCTCCTTGGGAAACCACACGTTTCCTGGTCTTTAGAGTACGCGATTATTCTGTATCTCCCTGGAAGTGATCGGTGTGACCCCATCATCCTTTCCGTGACCTCCAACTCACACCCCCACCCCGACTGTCCTTGGCCTCTGTCAACAGAAAAGCCCCCAAAACCCCCACCTGTAAAACCGTCCAGCCAGAAATGTCAGTGAGACAGGAGGGAGGGGACCCAACGAAGGTGATGTTCTGTGTCTCACATGTGGGACACGGTCGTATTTTCATGCGCAAACAGGTTCCTGTCCCCAACCTGCCGGCTGGCGTTCATGAAGCCGGGAAGTCCGTGGAGAAGGCGGATGCCATCTTCTCCCAGGAAAGGGACCCCCGGTTCGCTGAGATGTTTGCGGGGATCAGTGCATGTAAGTTTCCCGATGGCACAGGGGCCTGGCGGGGGTGGGGGGCGGGGCGCGGCGGCTGGGCCGTCGGGGGGGGGTGCCCCCCTGGGAAAGGCCCCCGCGGGTGGGTTTTCCGTGTGCGAGAGCACCCAGAACAGGAGCCCGGTGGACCCTCGCCCCCCCGCTCGCCCCTCCCTGGGGCCCCGGACCGCACGCCTCCTGCATTCGAGGGTTGGAAACTAACGGCCTTTGGGTGCCCAGACGCTCATCGCAGTCATCGGGTGGCCTCTGCCTCCGTCGGCGCCGTCGCCGGAGAAAGTGGTGCGTACTGGATTGAGGTGTCCTGTGACGCCCGTGCACCCCGTTGCCCCTTCCAGTCGGATTACCATTAAGGTCAGCAAAATACACAATCTGGGAAGGTCTGTGTCATTCCAAAATTCAGCAGAAGGATCCCGTTTTGTGGGAGTCAAGGAATTTCTGCGAGTTGCCGTGCAGTGGGCATCCGCTAAGGAGCGCAGCCGAGGGAAGACCAGGCGCAGCCCTCCTGGCGTCCCCACGTGCGCTGCCGACGGGGCCGTCGTTCCGGCTGCGACCAGCCGCTGGGCAGCCGAGGAAGGGGCAGCGCCGTCTCCCACGAGGGCCACGCGTGCTGACCCGTGGGGCGCGGTGACCTGTCGGCCCCCAGACACTCTGCCCACCTTCCTCAGGGGCTCTCGATGTTGGCGGAGAAGAGAGCAAACGGTAGCACGTCTCAAAGTCTTCTCTTCCCCCCAGAGAAGCCTGAGGCGTCGGACCACACCCTGCAGCGTTTCTAGGAAATCCACGTGAAGCTGTGATGTGTCACAGACAAGACACATTCCCAGTAGGTGACCGAAGCGGGAGAGCTGGCCGACAAGGAGAACGGGAGAGCCCCCACCTGTCCAGCCGCCAGGCTGCGCCCGCACATGGGAGGCCCCAGGTCGACGCTCCCAGACACGGGCCATCGACCCAGAGCTCCCGAGCACATGGCTTGCCGGGGTCTGGGCTTGTCTGTGGGGTGAATCAGAACACAGAACGCAGGGGTGGAAGGGGCGGGCTCAGAAAGCAGGAGTGCAAAGAAGACACCAGGAACCCCAACGACCAGGGTACAAATTGCCAGAAGATACAGAAGATGTGGAAAAACCAGAACCCAGCCGATTCGGCAAAGACCCGGGCGCATCTTGGGTTAGGGTCATAAACAGAAATTTCTCGTTGGCCTGTATTTTTTTTCCTCCGATATTTCTAGAGCCGCATAGCTTCCCGTGTGTTCAAAAATAGCCACTCTTGAAAGGAGGGAAGAGAAAAGAAGGGAGGAAGTCTCGCTTCCAAGAAAAGACAAGGACGTTTTTAGCAAATTGCAAAACACTCAGGAAAAAAGTGAAATCATAAGAAAGTCTGAATGTCATGATGGTAGAATCCACGGGTGTCCAAGGACCCGACAGGCAGCTCCTGGGTCACGGGCTGCCGAATGGGCCGTGTCCAACCTCGTGCCGCGAACTGTGGGGCACGGAGGGGTGGGGGCCTGGTGCCCGCGGACCCCGGAAGGCACCGTCATCCGAGCGCCGTGGGTGACAGGGCTGCTCTACACTGTGACCTGATGGGGAGGTGCGTGTATCGTGAGCCCTGGAACGTGGGAAAGAGTAACTGGAAATACACGAAAATCCGATAAAACCAAGCTGCGGCGGGAGTCTCAAGGTGCGTTTCTTCATCTCCGACACATCAAGCAGATCAAAGTCACAACACGAAGAAAACTATAGAAGATCAAATAATAAAATCAAGACTTTCCATACACACAATTTTGTGCCCTACAAATGTTTCAGAGCAGTTAGGGAAAAATGTGCTTCTCATTGACCCAAACCACCCAGGATACGTGAGAAGAATCGCTCACCTTAAGTGAAAAGTCACGAGAAGTCCCTCGGGCGCCGCTCCCCGGGACCTCGAGCTGCGTCTTCATCTGCAAGACGTGGGCCTGCGGACCACATGAGAAACGCAGGCCGAGAGGCCAGGCCCTTCCGCCCTGTCGGCGTTTCCTCCAGGCGCCCTGTCATCGCAGCAAAGGGAATGGACCAGGGAAACTGCTCAGGGCTTCAGCGTGACAAAACGTCACAGGGGAGGTTTGCACACGTGGGAGATTCAGCACGTGAACACTGACGCCGTCCCCTCGGCCACAAGCCCCCGAGCCCGAGCGTCCATCGCTGCTCATGTCCACCCTGGGGGATCCCCCACCAAGCCAGAGACGGGTACAGGCGAGGGGTCTGCGTAGGCCCCACATCCTTGCCACGTAACTAACGTTGATGTCCTTTGTTCCCATGTCTTGTGGGTGGGCTGTCAGGGGTCGTGGGAACAACGGGCATAGGAGTTTAGACATCGTAGGTCAGCGAGAGGCTCTAGAACAAACATGTCCAACCCCCCTGCCCCATCGTAGGGCAGAGCTGGGCTCTGCACTCCGGCATGGCTCCTCCGAGCCACGGTTCTGTGTGTCCTCCACGGGCATGGAAGTAGTCCTGTCTGAGGAAGAACGTCCATTGGTCCTTTCCATCTTCCCAAGTCTTGGAACGGGCCTGCTTTCTGGGGCACATGGCCAGGCCTTGGTGCCGGAGGACAGCCCAGCGCCCTCCTGTGCACAGAAGGCCCCGGGAGACGGAGGGCGCAGAGGCAAGGGCGGGCAGGGACACGTGGACGGGCAGCCAGGATGCGTCTGTCCTGCTTGGGGACGCCCAGCCCCGCACCTGCCCCCCCGGCTGCCCGCACTGTGGTCTGGAGGACGGGGAGCCCTTGAGCATCACCCTCGCTGTGCTCTTCTAGCGGACAAGAAGATGATGAGCTCAGCGCCCGCAGCCGGGACGCAGCAGATCTACTCCCAGGGCAGCCCGTTCCCCCCGGGGCACTCCGGGAAGGCCTTCAGGTACGCACTGGGCGGGGGGCGGGGGCTGTGGCAGCACCTCTGGTCTGCGGCCAGCAGGACAAGGCGGGGTCCCCCAGGAAGCGGCTGCCATGCCATCCTCACCAGCCTGCACCTGCTCATCGGGTCCTCCCGACACTGACCCCAACCCCAGCTGCCAGATCCTTGGTCTGGACGGAGGCAGCAGGGAGGGGGCAGAGGCTGGAGGTGAGGAGCTGGAAGCTGGGAAGGCCTGGCCAACTGTGAGCCGAGCCTGGGAGCAAAGGTCACGTGGCCGCTTGGGGACGCAGAGGGACCTCCTCCGGAACGCGCTGAATGAGGCCTGGGAGGCCGCAGGCAGGGAGAGGCTCGGGGTCTGGGCGAAGCAAGAGGAGGCTGTGGAGGAGGCTGCGGAGGCCTTGAATGCCACACTGGGGAGCCGGAGGGGAAGAGGAGCTTGGGGAAACAGGGTCCAGGAGAAGGTCCGGGGGGCGGCGTGGACAGGGAGGTGCTGGTGGCTCACAGGACACGTTGTCCCGCTCCAGATGCTAAGCCGGGGTGAGGCTGTTGTCATGGAAACAGGAGAGGGCAATGACGGAGGAGAAGCCGGCTTGTGGCCAGCTGGCTGTGCGGGGAGGGGGTCGGGACGGTGGCCCCTGTGCACAGTCTGGCCTCGGGAAAGCCTCTCTCACTGCTCGTCTGTGGAAGGACGGGAGGGAAGGACGGGAGGGAAGGATGGATGGAGGGAGAGAGGGAAAGAGGGAGAGATGGATGGATGGGTCGAAGGAAGGAGGGAGGGAGGGAAGGAGGGGTGGGTGGAGGGAGGGAGAGATGGATATCTGTGAGCTGCTAGGCGTGGGTCATGATCCGGATTTCCTGTAAATCTGAGGGGCCCGGGCTGGCGGGAGCGGGAAGGGCATGGGATGGATGTGGCAGTCGGAGGTCAGTCGCCCTGAGCTCTGGCAGAGTGGTGTCACTGCAGGCCCCTGAGTGCGTCCTCACACTGAGCCCTGCCGTGGGCCTGGCAGCCGTGACAGCCTGTGTGCACTGAGGCAGGCGTCTCTGGGGGTTCTGGGGCGTGCCAGGCACGGGCTTGCTGGGCACAGGGTCCGGCCCTCGTCCATCAGTGCCCTGGGAGGACAGGAGGGCTGAGCGTGTGGGGAGAGACACCCAACCCATAGAGAACAGGAATCAGTAGAGGCTTTCCGAGGCCATCGGCTCATCAGGAGGGAGAGTGGGGAAGGGCCCTTATGTTGAGGGAGGGGGTGGCGGCAGGAGGAATGCTGTCCACTTGGGGGATGGCTGGGACAAGGAGGCACAGACACACTTGGAGTGTCCCTATCTCATAAGGGACCAGAGAGCACAGAATAAGTATGATAACACACGCAGTAAGACCGTACCCACTCTCCTGTGCCGGCCCGTACACTGCCTTTCTTTGAAACCCACACCGGCGGTCAGCCCGGTCCCCCACCCTTGGCTCCCTCCTGGGCCCACAGCGCTGTCCCGCCCTGAGCTGCTCCAGGACAAAGGGCATGAAGCCAAACAGAAGCTCCCACCTTCCCCGCTTTATCGTGCGTGTTGTGGGATCCTGTAACATCGCCATGGCTGGAAAACGCTGCGGGTGGCGGGGTGTGCCGCTGGCCTGGGAGCCCAGACGGCACCCGGAGGTGGCATCTGCAGGGGGCCAGGCACAGAGGCACCTGGGACTCACCAGCCAGTGCCCCGTACCGACCGGAGAACATGGGAGACGCGGGAGGGTGGGAGGCCGGCTCCCCACAGCGTCCTCCGGGTGGGGCGTCCCCTGACAGGCTGTCCTGTTCAAGACCAACCCCTTGATAGCCCGCGGCCCAGTCCCACAGTCCAGAGCCCGTAGGTGCCCCACGGGGACGAATTAACCAGTGCACAGGGCACTGGGTCCCCACTGAGGCTGATTTTCACGCTAAGGAGCTTCTCCCTCGGAGACACATGGGGTGGGCGGCCCGGAGGAGAGAGTGGGGCCCAGGGCCCGGGGGGAGCACAAGTCAGGCCACAGAGGTGACACAGAGAGGGCCCCAGGGGGGAGGAGGAGCACCAGGGGGCTGGCCACGCGTGGGCCACCTTGTCCCGGCGTGTTCTGTGCTAGAGAGACGGACGGACGGACAGAGGTGGCTGCTGCGAGCGAACAGGGGTGCCCCTGGGGGGCCCGCGTGGGGGGTGAGGCGTCTCCTCGGGACGAACGCGGTTTCATCCCTTCCAGCTCTTCCGTGGTCCACGTGCCCGGCGTGAATGACATCCAGTCCTCCTCGTCGACCGGCCAGAACATGTCCCAGATCTCCCGCCAACTGAACCAGAGTCAGGTGGCCTGGACAGGGAGCCGGCCGCCCTTTCCCGGACAGGTACGGGCTCTGGGGAGGGAGATGTTCCCAGGCCCAGGCGGGTCAGAGCACCCGGGACCGACTTCCTTCGGCTCCCGGCTCCGACACAGGTTAGGCTCTGAGTACCAGCCCCCTCCCCTCCCCTGAGGGGCCCAACAGCAGAGTCCCGTGTGCTTTCCACGGCCCGAGTGCTGCCGTGGACGGGAAGCTGGGGAGAGGGGCAGATCCACAGACACTCTGTGAGGAGCGAGCCCCCTCACCACTCTGGAACCCCGTCTGCCCCAGCCGGAGCGGTGAGGACCCCCAGCCCCGGGACACACACCACTCCCTGGTAGGCACTATGACACGGGCATTTGGTGGCCCAGGGGACTTCTCCATGTGTCTGTAGTACCAGGCCCCCATCAGCAAAAGCCGTAGGACCCCCATCCTTGTAGGGTGGGGGGTGACTTTACCTGGACCTGCCCCAGTTTCTGGACCTGCACATGCTGGGCTGACGCCAGGTTTGGACCCAGGTGGGCAGGAGAGCCGTGGGGAGTTGCCGTCAGCCCGTGCGGCCTGGGGACCAGGCCAGAGGCCTACTGGTGATGCCTCCCTTCTCTTTGCTGTGTCTTGATTATAGCAAATCCCTTCCCAGTCCGGCAAGACTCAGTCATCTCCCTTTGGGATTGGCACAAGCCACACCTACCCGGCGGACCCGTCCTCCTACAGCCCCCTCTCCAGCCCAGCTACCTCCTCGCCCAGTGGGAACGCCTACTCCAGTCTCGCCAACCGGACGCCAGGGTTTGGTAGGTGGGGAACGAGGGCAGGACTCCCCGGGTGAGCCGGCAGAAACGCTTTCTGAACGTCCTGAGTTCGGGGGACTGAGCCCTGAGTTCCCAGAACCCGGGGACCATGCCTGGGGGTTTCCAGGTGCCGTGGTGTCCCTCGGACGCTGGGGGCTTGGGTCTCAGCTGTGTGAGGCGATTTTGTCATTTTCAAGGCTCTGGGACTATAGTCCTGTCTGCCGAAGTGCTGTTTTACCCTTTATGGCCCTTGGCGAGGAAGTTCACTCTCTGCTGAACGTCCCAGGAAGGATCCCATCCCATGTCAGAGCTCCTCTCCCAGCTTCACAGAACCTCAGGCCATAGGGGTTCAGTGGCAGCTCCCCGTGGTGCCGCTTCCCGTGGTGCTGCTTCCATGTGGGTCTGCTGGGCCCGGGCCCCCCCTCGATCGGGAGGGGCTGCCAGGCGCCCTGAGCTTCCTGAGCTGGGGCCCATCCTCTCTCAGCGCGGCCACCGTGACCCACCCGTGCGGCTCACGGGGCGTCTCTCTGCAGGACGGATACCCTCAGGCGAGCGTGGGGCTGAGCCCGCATACCCGGGTCTCCACCTGGCAAGTCAGCCCCAGGGGAGCCGCTGTGTCCACCGCTGCCCACTCCCTGTCCCACCCCGGACGCAGCACTTCCTGATCCCTCGCCAGCCGTCCCCTGTTTGTACACACAGAGCGGGTTCTCCTGCTTGGCCTCGAGCCAAGCCTGAGTATTGTCCCCCAACTGGAACTCAGCCACATGGTCCCCGTTTCTGGAGGGAAGGGTCCCCGGCCTCTTGCTCGTTCTAGCCTGCCAGACACCCAACTCAGAAACCTCTGGACTCTGGAAGCCGCTGGCCCCCAGGGAGCCCCTACCCCCTGGTCTTTGCCTCAGCTGTCAATGGAAGAGGATCCCCATCTGGGCACAGCAGCCATGTCCCCATTCGCTCCTGGCTGCCCTGCACTCACAGGACCCCACCGACAGTTAGGACCATGGCTAGTACTTACCAGATGCTCACTACCTGCTCAGCACAGGCACGTTTGAATTCCCATAACTCTCACGGAGACGCCCGATTTCTCCCATTTTACAGATAGATAAACTGAGGCATGGTGAGGTCAGATAGAGGTCACCGTGCCCTTGTCTCCAGACTCTGCTTGCCCCTGTCCTCTGATCCGTCATTAGGGGCACATGGGACTTAGGTGGGGACTGAGTGTCCCAGTGGAGGTTTCTTGATTCATACCAATGAGAGGCTGGGCCCCACTGTGTGAGTGCACGGAGACCACGGACAGGGCTCCTGCGGGCTCACCATCAATCCCTCCCTTGTTGACCTTGACCCAGCAGGGCAGGAGGAAGCGGTCACCCGTGTTTGGAAACCAGGCCCTGGAGAAGAGGTCAGGGAGCGGGGGAGGAGCATAGGGTGGGCCAGTCCTGGTGGGCATGGGCTCCCCAAGGACAGCTGTGGGTCAGTGGCAGGAGGCCCCAGCAGAGGAGGGGACGGTGGTGCAGAGGGGCCCAGAGGGTAGGGTGGGCCGTGCATGGGACGTGCAGCCAGTGGAAAACAAACAGCCTCGACTCCAAGGGGCTCCAGGGAAATGGGATCTGTGGAGGCGGGCATGGAGGACAGGCTTTGGTCAGGTCAGAGAGAAGAGAGTGTGCTTGTGGTTCATGAACAGGACGTGCTCCCGAGCCAGTGAGAGGGTGCAGGGAAGACAGCGGTAAAGAAGGGGTACGTGGGGAAGAGACAGAGGCACCTGCTGATGGTGCCAGCCATTGAGTGAACACAAGACCGTGGACCCGCCAGCCGCTCTCATGCAGGCAGGGGACTCTCACCTTGCCGTGCGTGGGACCCAAGTGCCCCCTCCAAGGGCACAGGCGAGATGGCAGTGCCGTGGGGCCTGCTGGTCTGGCCCAGAGGGTGCGCAGGCCCAGCCCCCCAACCCCCCACAGTACCCAGCTCAGCGAGCTGTCCTGGGCCGGATTCCGGAACCCCGACGGCCCTGTCTCACGGGCAGGAGTCTGGGAGAGCTGGGGAGCCGACGATCACCTAGTGCGGGCCCGGGTGACTGACATCAGGGGGAACAGGCCATGCCCGGGCTTCTGCAGGGGCTCCTCGAGGTGGCCGGTGTATGGGGTTCCCTCCTTGAATGAGGAATCTGGCCTCCTTGTTCCAGCTCCTTTCGTGAGCCACAGGCTCCTTTCGCTCCCCTGGCTTCCAGGAGTCAGACCAAAGCCCTCCCGCCATTTCGGGGCTGTGGACGGACCCCGAGCCGTGTGACTGATGCATTTGCGTTTCCAGTCCTGGTTCTGGTTTCGGCTCTCATGGGTCTTACCTCATTTGATGGGGAGAGTCTGGAAGCAGGACTAGAACGCTTCACTGAGGGGCTGACAAGTGCAGGTGTTGGCTTCCTAAAAGCTGGGTGGGGAGGGTGCGGCCGACGGGGCGCAGACAGGACACAGACGCCACACCTGTCGTCATGGCTCGGGGCGCTTCCTACAATCACCCTTAGCTAATGGGGTTGCCGGAACGCCCTGGCGAGGACAGGCCGGTGAAACTGTGTGGCAGCTTCCTTTTCCAAGCCTGGAGGTCCCACCTCCCCAAAGGTGTGTCTGTGCGGGGAACAGAGCCTCGTAGCGGTAAGTGGACTGGCCAGGGGCTGGGGGCCTCGGCTGGTCGCTCCCCGGAGGGAGCACGCAGACCGGAGCCCACAGGAGCTGCCGCTGGGCCTCCTGCACGCCGCCAGTCCCCGCGCTGCGGACAGAGAAACATCTGAACCAGGAGAGAAGCCCCTTCCTCGGTGCTTGTGGGTCTCTCCAGCACCTTCTGTGGACAGAGCCTAACCTCGCCCAACGGGTGGGGGAGATGTGATTCCAGCATGCGGCAGCTACCCCACAAGGCAGCGCGAAGGGGCAGTAAACCCACAACACATGCTGAGCCCTGAGACCTGAGGTCCCTGAACAGCAGCGTCTCCGTCTCCCCACCTGCCTGCCAGTGCGTCCGTGTGTCTTGGGGAAATGCAGGGGCCAAGCACACGGCTGCTCAGGGAAAGTGGCCCAAGGGGCCAGGGCAGACCAGGTGCTCCTCCTCGGACTCGCCCGGAGTCTAAATGACGTGACCGTCTCACCCGTGCGCGTCCAAACACAGAGGCCGGGTAGGCAGGGACAAGCCATTGCTTCCTGCCCTCCGCGTGTCCTAGTTTAGGAAGGGGCAGCTGACCCACCCTGCACATGCCCGGCACGAGTCCTTGCAGATCCTCTCGGGTCACAGCAGATAACACGACGGCGTGAGTGTGAGCGTCTTTTCTGAGGCTCAAGAAATGCGTCGGTCACGTCACCGGCCTTCCCGGAAGGAGGCCTGTCCGTCTGCACGCCTGCTTCGGAGAGGAAGACGGAGAGAACGTGTCCTTCCACAAGAGTCTGAAGATGTTTGCAGCGGGAAGGGGGATGAAAAATGAGGGACGGGGCCGGGCAGGCGCGGTGGGGGAGCAGTTGGCATTTCCGTGACCTGGAACATTTGCAGATACCACACCCCGAACCCCCAGGTCCTGCCTCGACTCAGCCGTGTGCCTTCTCACAGCAATTTAGGGAATCAGAGACCTTCCCACCGCTCCCAGTTACCGACGAAGAATGAGGTCTTGGGCAGAAAGCATGGGAAACGTGTCCTTGGCATGACCTACAGGAGCCCCCCACCCGGAGGCATTTCTAGAACAAGCTGGCACTTGGATGCTCTTGGCTGACTCTGTCCATGAGGACTCCCAGCGTCAGTGCTGTGGACGATTTGAGCCACGTAATTCTCTCTCAGGAGCTACCTTTTCGTGTAGCTGTTCAGCTGCGTCCCCAGCCTCCCCCTACCCGCCCCCCTGCATTTATGACCACGAGAGGTGTCTCTAGACGTGTCCCCTGCACGGCAGGGTCACCCTGGGTAGACCCACCGTGCCCCCCCCCCGCTCCGGCCGCAGAGGGCCTCTGAGCAGCAGTTCCGGCAGCTCTGGGATCCTCAGGAGAAGCTCTCTGGGAAACCGTCAGCAAGTGACCTGACGGCCTCGGACGTCGAAGAACTGTCTCGGGAGAAAGATGTCGTCCCTTCCTGCTACAACCTAGGAACCCACATGCTTCTCCAGGTTCTGAAGTCTAGTCCGAAAGTCCACCCATTTGGCCCTGACAGTGGCAACGCCGCGCGGGCTCTGCTTGGGCCGCGGGGCTGACGGGGCCCCCACGTTCAGCCGGGGCCGCAGCAGCCCGGACCGGGTCAGGAAGCCGGCAGAGCAAAGACGGGAATGGCGGGAGCCCAGCTCACAGTTTGCAGCCGTACACACACAGCTCCCGAAACAACACGGCATCCGAGGATGTCGGTGACCCCTGGGGTTTTCTCCAGGGGCTTGTGGACACGTGGTGGGTGCAGGCCACGTTTCTCGCCTCCTCAGCATCGGTCTGTGGTCGGGTGGTGTGGCTCCGCAGGCCGAGGTCTGGGCGGAGAGCACCCGGCGCTGTGTGTCGTAGTCACTGCTGTTCTGTGAGTGCGGAGGTCACGCATGCGGCTCAGAGCCACGCGGATTCCGTAACGGGGGCAGGAAGAACGGCCTCCCCGGGACCCTCCCGTCTGACGGTGTGAACGCAGCCCGTTGGTCACAGCCCAGGAGGCGGCTTCCCCGAGGAAGACCATCAGCTGTGACATCCCCTTCCCTGCCCCCCCCACGCAGCCTACACCCCCTCGCTGCGCTCGGGGCCATCCCGATGACCCGGACCCTCGTCTGCTGCCCCTGCAGAGCTGGGCTTGGTCGCCCCCATGGCCGAGGCTCTCTGCTCCGTGTCTGGGGCTTGGTGGGCGTCGGATATAAACTCTCAGTGTCCCAAGTGAACGCACGCGAGCCCTGTGTCAGAGAGACCTCGGTTCCAAGGGGCTCCGGCATTTCAGGTAGAACAAGCGGGCAGATTTCCGGAGGCTTCAGTTCCTTGTCTGGAAGCGGTGGGAGATGCGGCCGTCTCAGCGTCAGCGGGAAGAGGAAATGAGATAAGGTCAAAGCCCAGCACACACCTGTTTCCAGAAGTTCCACGTCCCTCCTTCCTCGGCTCCTTCTGCCGTTCCCGAAGCGATCCCGTTGAGTGGTTTTACTACTGCAAACATTTTTTTTTAAATATTTTATTTATTTATTTGACAGATCACAAGCAGGCAGAGAGGCAGGCAGACAGAGAGAGGAGAAGCAGGCTCCCCGCTGAGCAGAGAGCCCGATGCAGGACTTGATCCCAGGCCCCTGGGATCATGACCTGAGCCGAAGGCAGAGGCTTAACCCACTGAGCCACCCAGGCGCCCCTCTACTGCAAACATTTAAGAAGAGCCTGTCCTTTCCCGGAAGTTTAAGAATTGCCTGTGCAAGCGTGCGTGTGTGATGAGTACAAATGAGCCCGTCTTTCTGCAGGCTTCGGTCCCACCGCCTGCCAGGTCTCCGGCAGTCCCCGAGACTGACTGACATGGGAACGTGTGTTCCCTTCCCCGGTTCCACGCCGATGAACGCAGGGAAGCACCCATGGGAGCAGAAGTAGGGGTTGAGAGGACACAAGGCCACGCAAGCCGAGAGTGGGCTTGGGAAGCTCGCATCCAGTGGGGCTCTGGACGCAGGCAGAACCCTCCAGGCGCAGAGGGGGTCCGTGGCTGGCGGCAGGCGGGCCACCCGGGAAGGGGTGGCCGGGGGGCAGGGTGGGTGCAAAGCAGAAGTGGGGCTACACAGGCTCTCGGGGCCCTGGCGGGCTGGGCTGGTTTGGCGCAGTTTTAGGAAGATGAGGGGGAGCTGTGGATTCCGGAGACAGCTGCTGGCCCGGGATGGAGGGAAGCGGATGGGCCCGGAGATACGATGTTCAGGGCCATGGGCTGGACCTGAGTGTCCTTAGCTGGGCTTTCCCCACGGGGACGGTCCGGAGAAGGGAGATGCTGGCTTTAGGCACGGGGATGCCGGGCAGTTCTCAGAGACTTGGCCGTGGCCCCAGGCCCGGAGCCTAAAGAAGCAGACGGTGCACATCCGACCAGCGGAGACGTGGACCGCACGCGGACCACACGGACCACACGGCTCCTGGCCGTCCGCTGGCTCTGTTAGGTCCTCCCGCCACCATGCACCCCAGGACTCAGGCACCGTGTGCCGTGCGGACATCCCCGCAGTGGCCTCCTCCTGACCTGTTCCTTCCTTGCCTCTCGGCCCTGGACGGCCGTGTTCCTGAACACGTAGGCGTGTACAGGCCACTCCTCCACATGCCTGGGAACCCCGGGTTCCTGCCACCCTCACAGTGGGACACCCGAGCTGTGGCTCGCGCTCAGCCTGTCACACTTGGACCCTCAGCCCGGGAGCCACCTGCAGGTCCCTGGGCGAGGCCACCTAGCCCCGCACCCACTCAGCTGCTGACTGTCCCCCTACTGGGCTCCTCTACTTCCAGGACAAGTTAGGTGTCCCCCTGAGAGTTGGCACTTTCGCCGCTCTCCCGGGTCACAGTGGCTCCCGCCCGTGTGGCGCTGCCTTTCCCCTTCCCCCGCCGTGCCGTGAGCTCCCCTGGAGGCACTGTCCCACTCTCCCGCCTGTGTGCACACCTGCACCAAGCCTGGGTTGGGGCCAGAGCCCAGGACCCCAGCGTATGAATCAGGGGGACTCAGTGGTGGCCATAGCTGGAAAGGAAAGTGGAGGGAATTAATTCCTGACGGGCAAGACCCCAGCAAGGAGTCACTGTTGTGGCTGGCGGGGGCCCCACGTGGCCTCCTGAGCAGTGGTCATCCCCCCCGCCCCCTGCCAGGTCCGTTATGACAGCTCCCCTGGACTGCCCCGCCGTCGCCTCCTGCGAAGGTGACCGGGCCCCTCCATGCTCCCCTAGACAGCAGGTGGGCCGGCCTGTGCCTCAGGCGGCCTCCTCACTGCACCCCCGCCCCCGGCACTGCTGCGTGGACCAGGCCTGTTCTAGACGTTTGGATGCCCAAACCGGCCCACAGACACGCTGCTTTGCAGGAAGTCCCCTGGCCTCAGGATCTCGTGAGCGTGAGGAGAAGATGCATTTTTCTTAAACAGCAGAGTCCCGTGAGCACCGTCAAATTTAATCCCTGATCTGGAAGCAGGGCGTCACGCCCCTGTCTGATTGTAGGAGGCCTCTTCCCAGCTGTTACCATCTGGAGTTCGGGAAGCACCCATCGGGAGGCCTTAGGGAGAACGTAGGTGTTTCATTATAACTTTCGTGTCTCGGGTCGTGTGTCAGATATGTGTGTGTGAGACAGACAGACAGAGACGGGGACAGAGGGGGAGGCTGGGGCTCTCCCTGAACACTTAGTGGCCTCAGCTCCAGAGCCCAGCATCCATTCTCAGGGAGGAGGGTGGCCCTCAGGGAGCACCAGAGCCGTTGGGAAGAGCAGAGACGTTCCTGAGTTTTTCTGGCTGAGCCTCCAGATAGCTCATCCTCTTAGGCTGAAACTTTAAAACGGTTTAGACAGGTTTGTGCCCCTGTTTTCTACTGGGTTCCCCTGTTGTATGTTCCCTGTGAGGTAAGAGGCCAGGCCACCGTCCTTACACGTTAACGTGCTCATTCCTACAAGGAAGCGCTTCGTGTCTGAGCCCCGATGCCTTTGGCCTCAAGCCCTCCGGGACTAAGAAACCCTCGGAGGCAAGAGGAGAGGCCGTGGCTCTGGGCGCCTGTGGAAGGCCCTCGTGGAATGCCACGTGTGGCCTCAGCAAGTTACCCGAAACCTGTGAGGGCGGCGGAGCTCAGGGCACGCTGAGGTGACCTCCTCCTCTGGCCGAGTCAGGCTCCTGCAGAGAGCAGCCTGGGGACGAGGGGTCTGGAGGAGCAGAGAGGCCTTCCCTCCCGGGGCCTGCAGGGGTGCTGCGTGGAGGGCTTGTCTCTGCCCACGCTCAGGGCCCCCCAGACACGCCCGCCCAAGCTCCGTGTGAGCCCACCCAGGGCGCCAGGGCTCCAAGGCTTCGAGCCCCCGGCCCCCAGCAGGTGCGCTCTGGGAGAGCCCCCCCCCCACCACGTGCCTGCACCCCTTGACAGGAAGCTCCCTCTTCGGTCTCACCCCCCAGCCGTGTGGTGCAAAGGTGACCTGTAACCTGTCGGTCCGTGCGAGCACGCGGGGGGCCGTGCACACGCTGTCCCGCCGGCCCAGTGGAGCGCACCGTTCACGATCGGGCGCGCTGGGCTGCCGTGGCTCTCGGTCTCGCGGGGCCACGACACGGCTGTTAAAGGCGGTGTCCTGTGCATCGGGTCTTTTCAGCCGAGAGTGGACAGAGTAGCGGGCAGTTCCAAGGGCGGCCGTCGGAAGTCTGGTCGCAGTGGCAAAGCCAGCACCACGGTCAGCAGAGCGGTGAGCAGCACCCCCACCAGCAGCCCAGTCAGACCGAAGTGTTCCAGGTAAATCGAGCCAGCACAGCCTTCTCGTAGGTACCGGCGCCTTCTCTCTGCTTCCTTTCCCCTCGCTCTCTGCTGCGGCCCCTACTGGTCCTTAGGGGTCCGGGTCCTGGCCCAGCCTGGGGGGAGGGGCCGGGAGCTGAGACCTCAGCTGTCCTCCCTGCTTGAGGACACCTGGGCCCCTCACAGCGGTCGTCGTTGGAGACCCTCCGGCCATCCCTCGTGGTGGCAGCCCTGGCCTAGCTGTGCAGCTGGAGGGGACCCTGTGACAGCCCCTCAGAGCAGTGCTTGGGCCCCATGGGGTTTCCGTGGCCCCACCTTCAGCCAGAAGTTTCCCCTGGAGGAAGGTTCCAGATGGAGGCCTGAGCCTGTCAATGACCCCTGAGCCAAGGGCTTGGCCTGTCCCACCGGCCTGCGTGAGGAGCTCCTCCCCTAGAGCCAAGGCACCACCATCCCCGTCACCGTCACCGTCACGCCCAGAGCTCCAGGTCTGCCCAGCAAAGCAAGGATGGGCAGGAAGCCCATGGAGGGAGGGATTGGAGGCCCCCCAGTTGGTAACCCCACCTTCCCAAGGGAGGGTCCACTCTCCTTGTCACTAGCACCTGTCCCACCCAGCCAAGCAACATCTTCGCAGACAAAGGTCTAGAACCCAGAGGTCCCTCTCGATCTCCAGAGGGGCAGCATTCTGACCTCTGTCCTCCATCCTTACGCCTCACAGCCGTGTGTAAGGCAGAATTCCCCAACCGGATTGTTCATGGTCACGAGGCTAAAAAGAATTCTTGGTCAGATAAATTCGTGAAACACTGGCTGAGCAAATTATTCAGGTTCTTGCCTGCGGTCCTTATCAGAGCCTTTAATATACGAATAAGCACTGAGGATTTTTAGGAGGTAGGCAGAGTGTGCCATTTCCCAAACTCCCTCTTCCACCAAATTCTTTTCTCCAAGAGTATCTCACGGGCCACAATCTGACAGAACACACTTTGAGAAATTTGCCAGAGGGGATTGAAGTAATGCTATTCCCATTCTCTAGATGGGCAGTCTGAGGCCCACAGAACCTGAGGGGCTTGTTGAAAATGAAGCCCGACCACACAGGCATATGGCTGTGCCCTCACAATGTGCACGAGCCTGACCTGAGTTTATGTTGCATTTTGAACATCGGCCATGGGTCCCTTGCTGGGTGCCCGGCCAGATTCACCACCTGGCGGGGTTCCTGTCCACCCTGTGTCCTGGCTCAGCCTCACATGGACACGGGTTATGTCCTGAGGTTGTGTTGAGCTGCTGAGACACAAATACTGGGGGAGAGCAGCTTCCAGCCTCTGGGCATTTGAGGACCCCTGAGAGTGTCCCCCAGACAGCTGGAGCCCATCGCGGGGCTGCCCCCTGGGCAGGGGGATGGATGAGCACGAGGGTGAGTGGCAGGCTGGGCTCCTGGGGCGTGCAAGTGCCCGGGATGATGAGCTGACCCCCGCGGCTTTCTTCTCTGCCCTCCCGCAGGACATGCTACCCATGCCCGGAGATCCGACCCAGGGGACCGGCAACTATAACATCGAAGACTTCGCGGACCTGGGCATGTTCCCGCCGTTTTCTGAGTAGCGGCAGGCAGAGCGCGGCCAGCGCTGGGCCGAGCCCCGTGCGCGATGCCGGCGCCCCCCATGTTGGCGGGGTCCCCCCACACCCTGCTTGCACCGCTGCAGGACCCCCCAGCAGAAGGCATCTCACCCCCCTGCCACCCCTGGCACAGCATTGCTCAGGCCACAGCCAGGGATGCCCAGCCACCCACCGGGAGCCCTGGTAGACATGCGGGGGCCGTTGTATTTATTGTACTTTCTCTGTGTATGTTTGGGAGGTGAGTCTGCTGGGCTCTTGAGGTCTGGTTGTGAATAATGTCGTAGTCGACTGTGTTCACCTGGAAGACGTCCAGTCACAATCCCGAGTGCCCAGGCCTGCCCAGGACACGGGAATCGGGTTTTTTTCTTGCCTTCGACATCTGTGGACAGATGGGGCTTGGGCGCTGGAAAGGGGGTGAGCAGGACGCGTGGCCTTTGTTCTCCAAGCTAGGACCCAGAGTAGGCCCCCACTCCCCCGTCCCCAGCTCAGCCAAGTCTGTGTGTGCATCTGTCCGTCCGTCCCTCGTGCTGTGGGGTGTGTGTGCTCTGTGCAGTGTGACATGAATCCCTGTCCCAGTGGGTGTGCTATGCCCTGTGTGTGTCATGTGGCCAGAGTAAGCAGCCAGGATCCAGGTGCGTCGTGGCTGAGGGCCCGCACGGACAGCCCTTGCCTCCAGCTCAGCAGCGCCCCGGCCGGACTTGGCCCACGGTCTGGGTGCTGGGCTGGCGGGCTGCGCAGAGCAGGCTGGCATTTCAGTGTCACCCGAGTCCTGACTGGGAACGTGCTTGTTTTAATGGGTCCATTCCCGCGTCCAGGCGCCCCTCTAAGAGGATATGACCACCTCCTCTTCCAGGAGGCCCCCGAGGGAGTGCGGGCCCTTCCCGCTTACCCATAGGCGTCCCCCTCCCGGCTCCCAGCCCGCGCCCGCCGAGGGCCCACCTTGAGGTCACAGAGCCCGAGGGAAGGCAGGATGTCCAGGCCTCCCCGTCCTTCTGAGCCTCCTCCCCCAGCGCCCGCCGTGGCAGCCACAGCACTCTCGGCTACCCCGGACAGGTTCGGACGTGGACTCCTGTGCAGAGACAGGCTCTTAGAAATGCCTCCCGCTGGGCCGCTGGGGACCGTGGCGCCTCGTGGGGTCTGAGTGCAGGTCTGTGAGGCACAAGGCCGGGCTTCGTGGTCTGATTCTGGTACACACTCCCCGGGGCCTTGCATTGTCCAGGTGGTCTCAAGACAGGAGGAAGAGTGACTCTAGAAGCTTCTGCCCGGCTGAGCCCATGGTCCCTGGCTTGCTGTGTTTCCCTGTAGCTCAGTGACCTCGTGTCCCCCTTGTGCCATGCACTGAGGCGAGCTCCCAGTCTCTCGTCTCTGACTTTCCTGACAGCCACGCTTGCCCCGGGCAGGTGGTGGTGTCCTCCTCCCAGGAAGTCCCTTCATCCCTCCCAGAGCCCTCCAGGCAGACCTTCTCAGGCACTGGCTCAGAAATACCCCATCCTGGGATTTCAGAAGACCCTGTGGAGTGCGGGGGCTTCTGAGCTGCCTGAGAGCAGAGTGAGCCCAGCCTGCGGGAAGGAGCGGGGTGGGGGGTTACACGAGCCTCTGCTTTGCTGTGCATTAAGCGCCGGCCCCGTGGGAGTCCAGAGGGGACCTCTATGCCCTGTCTCGCTGGGGGGCTCCACCGGCAGAAGTCCAGCGTTGTGTGGTGGTCAGCTGTGGCCAGGAGTCAGCTGCGGGTGCTCCCAGCTCCAAGACAGAGTCCACGTGGGCTGAACCGTTCCCAGAGCGGCTCTTAGACCTTCACGCACAGCGGTGATTGGGTCCTGGGTTCAAGGTCCTTTTCCCCCCAGGACTTGGGTGGAGCCAACCCCATGCACCGCAACAGTGCCAGAGCCAGAGGGGGATCCCCCGTGTGGGCCCCGCCCTCGGAGTCCCCTCCGCCCCCGCAGCCTGAGCCAACCCCAAGCAGGGGCACGATCATTTCCAAGAAAGGCACAGAAATCACTTTCAGATCAAAGAATGGTTTCTCCATGAAACGAAAACAGACTTTCTGTGGCCTTTCACCTGTGAGTTTGGAAGTTTTGGGCTTTCATGTTCGTTTTTTAATTTCCCAGAGAGAACTAGGGGTTTCCTGAGAGGTGCCCCTCAGCCTGACGCTGTGACCCAGGGCTGTGCTGGACACCGAGGGGGTGTGGGTGGGGCGGGAGAGCCTGGTCCCCAACAGCCCTGCAGCCACTTCTGTCTGTCCCTGAAGGCTCGGTCCTGGAAGGCAGGGACCGCCGGGACCATAGGCCGGGCGTGATGGGGAATGTCGTGACTGGGCGGCCCGGCCTCCTGGCCTCCCAGCCCTGTCCCAGGAGCGGCCACAGGGAGGCCGATGGCAGTCCGACCGGGTGGTGTGAGCGCTCTGTCCTCTCCACTCCCCACCCCGCTCCTTGCTTGTGATTCCTGGAAGCCATCCTGTGGCCAGTACGAAAACAGGACTGGAAGGATCTCTGACCCAAGAGATGTCCCCTTGAGGAATCTTGTGACAGACCAGAAGAAGAGTTCAAGCTGCTGAGGTTCTCATCCTGGTTTGGAGGAGAGCGCCCCGTGCCAAGCCAGGGCAGCCAAGAGGGGACCGTGCGTGGACCCAGCTGTTGGTACGTCCTCCAGCCAGGCCCAGCCCAGACTCCTGTCCCGCCGGAGACGCAGCCCAGCTGGGCCGGGACTCACTCCCTCACTCATGCCTGCTCTCCTTGAGCCCAGAGGGTGGGCCTTCCACAGAACAGGCCGGGGCTGCGGCGGCCTGGGCCCGGGGCGAGGACACAAAGCAGCCATTTTGAGGCTCACCTGAGACTTGGCTAGTGACGGTGGCCATGGGCAAGGAGGTTCTAGAACATTCTACCTATATGTCCCTCCCACGAGTTTTGTCTTTAGCTGCGGTTTCAGGGAGTGACGGCGCCATCACCAACGGCGGCGTTCTCCTCGGCTTCGCGAGACATGCAGCGCACCCCTACGCTGTTGCACGTGTCCGTTACAGAGGGGGAGCTGCCGAGAGTTGAGGGAACGTCCTTTGGGGACTTGGACCTCTCAGCCAGTGAAGAGACCGTGTCTCCCCCAGATTAGCCACATGTGACCGGGACCTCCCATCCCTGTCCGCTAGCCTTCACCAAGTGACGGGACAACCCCGGGGAAATGAGCCGTGGTCTCCTCCTCGTACGCCAGCCCCTGGGAGCAGCCGAGCTCTGCCCGGCCCGCGGGCTCCCTGCCAGTATGACCTGTCATGTAGCCAGACCGACCAAAGTGCTGGTGGGTCGCGAGTCAGGGCACAAGTGGCCTTGGTTGTACCAGAAACCCTGAGTCTAGTCGTTCCTTGCCAGGGGTCCCTTCCCTCCTCCCTCCACCAGATCCTCGTGGGGCGTGCTAAGGGGTCACTCTACCTTTCCCTCGGCTGCCTGGGGCCCGACACAACTCAGGCACCCCACTGGGCTGCAGGCCACTGTTCGCCTAGAGATGTGCCTGGGTCTGGTGGCCAAAGCTGGTGTTGTGGTCCAGCAGCCCCCCAAAGCCTGCATGGGGCCACCCACTGGGGAGGGGCCAGGCTGGCCGGATGTGGGGCGACTGGCTCCCCGGGACAGCCTTGTTCTTCGGCAAGGACGGGCTTCCGTGGACTCTGTAAGCACGCCGTCATTTCCCTTGTAGCCTTTCTTCGTATGGCTGTGAGCTGTGCTGTGGATACATCCTCCTGTGTATTTCTGGAATGTTCTCTCGGACTAACGGTTATTGAGTTGGTTGTGTATATGTGTAACTAATGTAACTGCCTTTTCAGATTTCATCACAATAAAGATGACTTTGCTCTGAACAGTGAACCGCGCGGCCAGCGTTGTGACTAAGCAGTCTGGGGAGACTTCTCCTGGACTTGGGGGTGTGTCTGGCTTCATGCCTCTCGCTCCTGCTGAGGGCTCTGCTCTGTGTCTCACTGCCAGTCAGGAACGGAGAGGCCCTGGGCGCTAACGAGGGGCCCTTCCGGGGGTCTGGCTACATAGGAGAGAAAGGTGCTTGCCCTTATCGACAGGCACAGCTCTCCAGGAGGCTCTGTGCTGCTCTGTGACTCGTGACAGACCTGGGCTACGCACTTGTCAGTCCCAGTTCCTACATTATGAACCCGGACTCGAGAAGTGCAGGGACTACCTGAGAACAGACAGGAAGGGAGTGGCAGGACCGGGATTTGATCTCCGCCCTCACTCCAAACCCTGTATCTGCTGTCTTCTTCAAACGCTCTTTTTATTTTTTTTAAATTTTTAAAAAATTCTCCATACGTTAGTATTTTAATATGCTTATGCCTCTAGGAAATACTTAAAATTCTAACCTTTCTCTGTGGAGAGATGACTATTTGGGGTCTAGCAAAATGCCAGAGTGAAATCATTTAAACGCTTTCCCACTAAATGTCTACCAGTCCTATTTTTTTTTTTACAGCTTTGTTGAGCTATGATTGATATAAAATAAACTGCATATATTTAAAGCATACATGGGAGAAAATTCTGTGACCTTGAGTGAGGCTTAGATTTCTTAGATAAGCCACCCAAAGCATGATCTGTAGAAGAATAGAATTATAAATTGGACTTCGTAAAAAAATTCAAACCTTTGCTCTTTAAGGATACGGTTAGCAGGATGGAAAGATCCCCCATTGACTGGAAGGAAATGTTTGTGAGCCATCTATCTGGCAAAGGACTTGTATCCAAAATACATAAAGAACGCTTACAACTCAGTAAACAAGTCAGTACAAAGCAGGCAAAAGATTTGGACAGATACTTTGCGAAAGAAGATACGAAGTGGGAAATAAACAGGAAAACATGGCTGGGGTCATTCGTCATCAGGGAAATGCACATTCTAATTCCATGAGCCTTTAGAATGTTCTAACATTTAAACAGACTGATGGCAGCAGATCTTGTCCAGCCTGTGGAGTGCCTAGACATCCCCACGTACGGGCTGGTGCCGCAGTCCCTTTGCACAACAGCGAGGCAGCTTCTTATAAAGTTAAGCACACATGTACCATATGACCTTGTCTTTCCACATCTCGGTGTTTATTTTCCCAGCGGAAATGGAAACGTGTTTCCCCACCAAAACCACCATGGGACTGCTTATTGCAGCTGTATCTGTAATCACCGAGAGGCAGAAACCCCTTAAAATGTCCATCAGAAGGTGTGTGGGGAAATCGGGGTAGATCCAGGCAATGAACACTACTCACAATGACGGGAACAGAGTGTGGATGTAAGCGACGATAAGACAGAGCTCAAAAACATCGCACAGAGCAAAAGCGTCCAGGCACAAAGGTACGACCTGATTGCGCAGAGACGACATTTCAGGAAAGAACCAGCTAATCAGCAGGACGGGAAGCATGTCTGTGGTTCTGGGGCTGGAGGGGAGGAGGACGGAAGAGGGGATGGGGAGGTTCTAGATTTGATG